AGAAAACTTTAGTACTTACGTGTGGAGAAGCAAAAAAGAAAAACAGCAGAATTGAAAGGCTGCAGTGTCAGTACTGTTGTTAAGAGGAATTTACTATATTACATAATTTAGATGATCTTAGGTGGCATGATTCACATACCAAATTTCATGAAGATCTCATAGGCCTTCAAGCATTATTAAGCTTATCCGTCAGCAAAGTAAGAGGCTGTAATATTAGTGTCATTGATGGGCCAGTTTGAATGACACACATACCAAGATTCATGAAGATTTTTCAGGCATTAAGAAGTTGTTACAGGTGAGTGCAGCGTATACAAACATACAGACAGCAAGATGATATCATAAGCCTATTTTTCAATAAGTAAAGTAAGCTAATGTTTAGCCTGGGGGGAGGGGGGTCAAAATAGCAAAATTCCACATCAACGACCACCATCACGAAGCAATGCGGCCATATTTAGGGTTGATGTCCAACTGTCAACAGAATGCAAAATGGTTTTCTAACTAAATTTCCTCGAGAATGGAACCTTTCAGGTGAAAACCTTGCGCTGTGATACCCACTCCACTGTAACTCTATAAACCCTTTCACCACACGTTCGGGTATCATGCTCACGTCACAGGAACTCCGTCTGAACGCTGTGGGAAACTGCAGACAGCTCAGCAGAGAAGGGGCCCAAGCCCTTCAATTTGCCCATTAGCGAGACCCATCAATTAAAGCGATTATTTTTTAGTTAGGAAGGTTTAAGTGACGTTGGGGGAACGCTCCTAAAGGCTGGACAAGATGGCCGTCTACATGCCTCGCGCTTAATAACAGTTCTGCTTTCAAGCGCACATCGAAAAACTAGACAAGTGTTTCCGGTTGCGATAATACCTTCCGAGACTTGTTGGCACAAAATACTGCGCAACATTTTAAAACTCAGTTGTTACTGTAACGGTAAATTTCCCAAACTGTAACTGCGAGGTCCTCAGCTCGAAACTCGATCGAGGTACCAACTATCTTGACTGAGGCTATTCCTGATTCATCGGAATCTCTAGGCAAATGTTGGGATAGTATGTCGAGTAGACATAACCGTTTCCTTCCAGATTCTTTCCAACTCATCTATCATTCTACACATGAGAGTCAGTAAATATGTCACAAATGTAAGTAAAACATTTGCAATTGACGTAATAGGTATCCTATCTGTATCACTAGGTAGCAGCACAGTCCAGCATCATGGCAGTCTAGGTAGTAGACGCGCATGCTCATGTTCAGAGGTCGCTTTCGTTAGTCAAAATGGTCACCGTGCTTGAGAAGTGTAATACCTAAGACCAACGTCCTGTTGTGAACAAACGGACTCAATGCAAAATATATTCATAAAGAAATGTTTCCTGTTTTACGGTGAAGTTTCTGTCATGTAAATCGGTTCAAACTAGGTCGATAAATTCTCTCAGGGACCTTCGAAAGTCGCATATGATGCCCGATGGGGGAGTGCTAAGACAATACTCAAAATTTTTCTATGCTGTGGATTTTCTAAGCACTGTTAAAGCGATGGGACAAGTGCATTAATGTTAGTGGAGGATATGTCGAGAAATAAATGTTTTTTTTTTTCCAGTTTAGAAATATCGCAAGTTTTACGTTTTATATCCATTTGTAAGCTATCTACTATTCTCCCTCGTATATTAGCTACAGAGAGCGTAGTTAAGTAACCCTCACAAACTAGGTAAAACACGGTTCCTTTTTTGTGAAATTAATTAATAGGCAGGGTTTTCTGTGTTCTTTAATTTTTCAGCAGTGTTGGATTCAGCCCTGCAGCCCCAAAGTTCGGCCTAAATCGAACTAGCATCAATTAATGTACAGTGAGATATTCGGCTTCGGTCCACGTCAAGAAATTATCAAATCTTCATTCCACTTCATTCACTAACACTCGAAATGCATTTTTGTTTCTTTCATTGAAGTTCTTCTTTCTCTTCCATTAAAATAATGGAGGCTTATGAGATCACGTTATTGTCTGTGTCTGTTTATTCCGTCCAATCGTTTCTAGGCAACGGCTCGGTAAACATGTTCCCACGGCAACGAATACACATGCATCAATAGAAGAACTGTTGGTCTCCTTTCGAATGTTCCCATTATCACCTTTGTTATGTTTTTCGACATATGTGAAGGATATACATATATTTTATATTAAAGGTATCCACCCCACAATACTAGTGCTCAAATATTAGATAGGGAAACCACTTATTAAAATCTGAACCTAAGAAAATATCATTCAACATTCTTCTAAACATTAAAACAAAAAAACGAACACATCACTATATATGTTTTGACTAAACTATAAAATACAATTACAAGATGTCAGCTCTAGCAACTTGTGGTTTCCTGTAAACAATGTGATTCTCTAAGCAGTTTAACAGATGGAAGGGAAATAATTCACTGATGCTCTATACTACATGATAGCACATGTATGCCTGGAAGATTAGATGGCAAGAATGCAATCCCTTGTCTATCACACCGAAATACACATCTAACTTACAAATCACTTCTTATCATTCTTCATGTTATAACACATTCTCCAAACACCATTGTGCACATTTTACACTGTCGTTGAACAGGATTGCCAGCATAACACCAATGACAACATGTGTTTCACCTAGCATACCACTCCGTTATAAGCAATAATTCTTCATACAAACAAGATATGTAAATAAAAGGGAAACTTTTCAATCCACTGTGGCTGAATGGAAATCTTAACATTCTTGAAAACACTACAAAACCGCACTACACATCACTGTATATATTACACGCAAAAATATAACGTCACACTAGAGAATTTAAACTGCATTTTTCACTCGACATTATTGTGACTAAAACAACATGCATTATACCAACCACCTTCTGTCACGCAGAACTAAGTTATAGATTCAAAAAATAACTTCTTCAATGGGAACTAGAAATTCACTTTGCAACATCTTTTTACAAGTACTTATACTAATGCAAAAGAAATGTATTTCATTCTGACTAATAACCTACTCACACGTGTAATATTCAGAGGCTACATACCAAAACTACAACCCGTTTTCTGTCATATCACATATGCACTCATAATATCTAATTCACTCTCTATCCATATAACCACTAACACACATTTTGTGCAAATCACTGTACATATTTCACACGAGATTATTAATAGTAATGCAAGAATAACCTGAAAGACACACTGTCTTTCACTACACCCACTATTCTTAAATGTACTTACTTTCGTCAAATCAATAGATGTACGTTATGGTGTATTCTTCCTCCACACATACTTCAGTTTCATGGTTCAGAGGGAAAACACTTCGATTTCTTTGTGGAACACAGGAAACACATGTTTGCAAAATTTCGTGCACTCGCCATTACACGGTCCAGGATAATACACACATTAAAGCCTACCATTTGCACTATCTCACTGAATCTTTTAAGATATTCTTTCAGGCAGATACGTGTAATTAAACAGAACTTGTACATATATGTATATAAACATACACACATAACACCGACTTATTATTATTAATAAGCACCTCTTCATACCAGGAAAGAAAAGTACCTTGATTTTGTACACCGGATATTTATGTCACAGTGACAGGTCAGTCAACCACCTAAGATATTTTATTATGAATTATGGAACTTTACGGCATTTCTTCAAATTGTGATGGAAAAATTACTAAGTGTTTAACCAGGGCGCGCCATAGCTCAAGCGGTTAGTCGCAGGCTTCCCACCGCGGCGACTCGGTTTCGAGCCCGGGTCTGATCAAGTGGGTTTTGTGGTGGACAATGTGGCGCTGGGGCTGGTTTTCTCCGAGTACTTCGGCTTCTTCTGCCAATCTTCATTCCAACAAATTCTCCATCATCATAATCACCCGGGGCAGGTTAAAATAGGCCAATCAGTGGCCGCCGTGCCGGGTGGACCCATTTGGACTTCACCCCCCACTAAGCGAATTTAAAAAAAGAAAAAAGAAAATGGTTAACCATGTAAGAATTGTGGGGTTACTGTCACTCAAAGAAATGACGACCCAGATCAGCCATCATCAGATGATTCGTGAGAAATTCAAAGACTGGTGAGCGAATATACATGAGCTGTAATGCTGGTATAGAATTGATCGCATCGGTCACCATTATATTTTTTGTTGTGAGCACCACAAACCGGGTGTAGCATTAACAGATGAATAATCATGTATTAACAAGTATGACCCACTTAATAAATTAGTCCTATTTTCCATGGCGGAAGCATAAATTTTTTCTAAGTGTTTATTATTAATATGCAGAACATACGTCCCAACTAGTAGTCGACTTTTATTTGCATGCGAGTCCCGTATGGCAATAGCAACTGATGCATTAGTTCATAATTCCATATTCAGATGAGAAGGGGGAAAATAATGTAGAGCAAAAAATATTAATGTATTATCTGGATGAATAGATATATTTAATACACAACACTCACTCATTCGGGGAAGTGAGCCCTTCTTGAGTTGCTGCCAATTGTGCAGCCACGCAAGAACTTCCCAGCATTTTATGGAACCCGAAGTTTCATTACCGTGTTCACAAGAGCCCTCCCTTGTCCTTATCCTGAGCCAGATCGTGGTTCGCAGCTATTTAAACAACATCCGTCATAAATATTATCAACACCTGGAACTTTCAATTGACCTAATCCTCCCAGCCGCACTACTGCCCTGGCGTCGACTTAGCCTCTAACAGAAATGAGTACCAGGAATATTCCTAGGGGTAAAGGGCGGCCGGTGCTTAAGGCTAACCTCACGGCCATCTCTGAGTCGATTGTCTAGAAAATGTTGGGATCCTCGACGTCTCAAAACCTTATGGGCCTCCACGGCCTGTTACAGGGATAGCTTTTTCTTTTATAATAGTATTAAACGCGTAGTTTTTGTCTGGGTTCCGTCATCATTTGTATACTATTGATCACCTGATGATGACATCTCTCGGCCGAAGCATGTTGTGAGTGTGTCCATGAAGTGAAATTTAAAATGTTACTCACAAGAACCTCGTGGAGGAGGTTGGCTCGTGTCACCACTTTCTTAATTTGAGCTAAGGGCGCTGGCTGCTTAGCGCCGCGTCGCGGAGGGACAAGACACGACTCTTTTGTTTGTGCTGCCACGTCTGCTCGCAATGCTTGTCGGGCGATTACTTCCACTAATTGTGGCGCCGGGTGTGAGCGCTCTGGAGGGAACACAAGAAAGACGGTGTTCTCGGACCTGGAGAAAGAAAATCGGAAATTGGGTTAATCGAAGTGAGGTACGAGACCGGGGTGCAAAATATATCTTTCTCTGTCTCTCCGATTGTTCTCTGTCCTTCTCTGCCTCCCTTTGATGACAGAAAAGTTAAACCGAGGTCCCCTGCAAGTCAGAGAAACACTGCTCTCCTCTTACCCTCACTTTATGTCTCCAACCTGATGACACTCATCCGTGACGGGAATTTCAGTATAGCACTTACCGAATTTGGATTCACTTTAATGCTTAAAACACAGTGATAACTATGCATACCGCCTGATTTAACGTAAAATAATAAGTTATGGGAAGAACTAATCGCCCGCTTTTCTTTGATATGACACGGACTGAATAGAAAAGCGACGCGTTTAACAATTCTTCTATTGTTGTTTGTGTATTCATTGCAGAATTAACGTATTTACGGAGCCGTTGCCTAGTAACGATACACTTCTAGACACATAGACTGACTGGGGGGATTTACGAAGTACTCCGTTGAGATTGGCTCAGGTTCCATGATATACATACCAAGTTTCATAAATATTGGTTCAGGTTTTCAAAAATTTGTAAGGAGGGATACACCGACACAGAAACAGCATGTTGATTGCATAAGCCTACTTTTGTTTATTTTAAATAAGGAAAGCAGTCTAATAACTCTGCCTTTGTTTCCCACATGTATATATATATATATATATGTGTGTGTGTGTGTGTGTGTGTGTGTTTCATAAAATTCTCAGAATAAACAGTTAAAGGTTTTCGTTTCTTTGGTAATGGAGGTGCAGTGTGTTCTCTGTGAAGTAGGAACTAAATTTGAACATATTATTTAGGTTAATTTCAGGTTTCTAAATAAGAGGCAGTTTTCAGCCGGAAGATCCTGCGACCGGTCTCTCGACACAGGTTTTATTTGTTTTCCTCTGTTTCCTAGCAAATGCTCAGATGTTCTCAAATTCCGTGCTGCTACCACGTGCTTCTCATTCTTCCATCCCGGATTTAAATTCATCACGTCCCTTTCCTGTCAGACTCACTGAAATTATTGTTGCAAATTATACGTTGGCATTAGTTCAGAATTAAAAATTCCTCTGCCCCTGTCTCAAGCCATTGCTTCTAACCGTTCTCAGGTCTTCACTTTCACACTACTCCTACTGAACGTACCGGAGGTCGAAACGTGGGAATGTTCTGACAACGCAATTGTCCTTACCCCCCCCCCCACGAAAAAAAGAATAAGTTATTTTTACTTTATGCGCCCCGTTGTATATATATGATATTAAATTTTTGTACCGTCACGAAGCAACGTTTGATTATTTTATAATACAACGACTGACATCAAGTGAAAAACAATAAGTGAGCCGCGAATACACACAAACATATGAACATCGTACCAATTATAAAAACTATACACACAATTTAAAATGAAATTTACGAACACATAAAACCGAACACAACATAGCACACGACGAAGCCACTCAGTCGGTATAGCGACGGACTCCATGCTGAATTGCCCGAGCTCGATTTCCAGCAGTGCAAGTTCCTTCTCCACAACGTCTAGACTGATTCTAGGGGACAACCAGCCTCCCAGCCAATGGATACCGGGGTTCATTCCCCAAGGGTAAAGCGGCAGGGGCGTGAGGCTTACCGCTCACCTCCATCTAGTTCCGAGTTCAAGAAATGGAGATATACCTCCAGTCCCCCCATACATCCTCATACATCCTCATAGCATAGTGATTAAATAAATTAATGGACAACTTCATTTTTACTTTCGGTTTTATAATATCGCAAAAGAACAGTATTTTCTTATATAACAAGTTCACAATTCATAATTTTATGATGTTAAAAAATGTGTCCACTACCAACATAAATTTGAGCATAAACGAAGTAAGCATATATTTATTGTTTTCATTCATATGCAGGTGATGATGGTGAAAAGAGATCGAAACATGTAGCTTAATTAATGTAATTAACTGATTGATTTATGGTTTTCACTTCTGCTCGATCGTTTTATTATGCAACAGTCAAACATTTTTGTATGAGGTAAGAAAGAAAACTTTAGTAAGAAATAAGGTATCTTCCATCTTTCCCATGATTTTCCTCTTCCATGTATCCTTCCCCTGTTCTTTCATACCTCCCCCTTCTTTCATTTGGCTTTGAGAGGGGCAGCTGAAATCGTCTTTGCATTTCACTTTCAGACATTCATTCTTGTCCTGACGCATTGTTAACTTCAATTTAACAATGCAGTTTCTTCAGTAACTCCACATGAATCCAGCTTGGAAATATTTCCATTGTACTTAGAGCAGAAAAATTTTATTTCTGAACTGCTTCTATTAGTGAAGATCCCCTCTTGTCTGTGAACGATGCTATAACATACACTGATAGAGACTATAGGCCTATCAGGCATCTTCGAAATGAAATAGACCTAATTTGTATCGAGTTACTTCGTTCGTAGCACGGAAAATGTTAATCTCGAAATAAGGCCAGAAGCTTTAGGAGGCCAGGAGACTTGATATCTTGACTGAAGTTCCTACTGGTTTTATTCAGCCGCTCCAACAACCTCAAACTACGTCACGACAACTTCCTTCCAAATGTTTTGTAATTCAGCATTCGCTAACCATCCTACTAATAACGTCACGCAGGATTGGCTACTGACAGCGGGGTTGAACAGCCAACGCACTTTCCGCCCATGAAGTACATAGGAGTATGTATAGGGGTAAAAACACAACGTTGTCCTTGTGCCTAATTAACTAAGCACTATGCGATGATGGCGTATGGAGGAAGTGGATGAACGAGTATAGCTCCACCTATTCTTGAACTCGGCACTACTTGGAAGTGAGTGGTCAGCTTCACACCCCGGCCACTATACCCCCGTTAAAAGAACCCAAGATACCCATTGGATAAGAGGCTGGACGCTGTGGAGATGAGAAAAATCTTGCCCCTTATCAGAAATCGAACCCTGGTCCCGTGGTCCCTCGCTATATCAACTGAGCTATTTCGATTAATTCCCGTGAAGTATACATGATTTCTAAATTGGTTCTTCGCTGTTTTGTAAACCACTCTGGGACGTGACGTTTCGGAGGAAACCGGAGACCCGAAAGCAGAGTAAACCACACTGTTTGAAGATTGTTTCACTTACTCTTCGACAGTGATGGAGTCGGTTACTTTCTTCTGAAAAGTCGGTGAACTTGTACCGGACTATACGGCGTCACATCCCAGAAGATAATACTCTTCATAGTCACTGTTGTGAGGAACGCAATTCTCACAGGTCACGATGTACATTCACTGCAGGCACAAATCTCTCGCTCCCAGCCTGATAACACTGCAGACGTCGAAATAAATGGTTTTGCTTTATTTATTTAAATAATATGACATAAAAAAATCAGTTCTGTACCTTACGCATCGCCGTACGCAAGGGACATATTACACGTTTGTTTGGGAAATGTGAAAGGAAAAGACCTGCATGTAGCTCCTAAACGTAGATTGGAGGATGATATTAAAATGGATCTTTAAAAACAGGATATAGGTTACATTAATCTGGTTCAGGATAGGGACCAGTGGCGGGCTCTTGTGACCACGGTAATGAACTTCCGGGTTTTATAAATGGTGGAGAAACTCTTGACCAGCTGAGCGACTATAAGATTCATAACAAGGTCTCTGCTCCACTGAAACTGTTACTTAGGTAATTCGATTTTCATTTCGCATGAGGAAAGAGAGAAAGAAACAAACAAAACTCCATTATGCGCACAAGTTCCAGTGTGAACTGACCAATATGCCATTACATTTAAACACGAAGATTATAGTCGTACGGGATGTAACACCGTGTAGTCTTGTAGAAAAGTAGTGGCATTTCAGAGAAGCTTGCTACCATGAACTTGGTGATACCAGGTTTATTCGCACCGATAGCTAAATTTCTACCACACTACACGGCGTCCAATTCCGGGAGACAGTCATCCCCATATTCACCTTCGTGAAAATTTCAAATATCGTCTTTATTTAAAGGCACAAAATATGTATTCATAATGAGGAGCTTCATAACTTGTACTCTTCGCCAAGTACAATCAGAATGATCAAGTCAAGGAGGGTGAGATGAGCAGGGCATTTAGCATGAATAAGATGCAGAGGAAAGCACACCGGATATTGCAGGGAATTACAGAAGGAAAGAGACCACTACGAAGAACAAGACGTAGGTGGGTGAATAATACTGTAACGATACAGAGGTGTGACTACAGACGGGGTGTGGATTGGATATTGGATTTATTGACACCTTATACACACCATTCTGAACTACATGTAAATACAGCGCACCAGCTAATATCCACACTTTACAGTCCACCAAAGTATCCGCTAATTCTTTTCCAGCCTGCTGTGTTTTAGCCAGCCGTTCCCTGTCAGCGGCTTCTAACACTGGACATTCTTCTGCTTCCCGAGATCACGTCCTCTTATCACAGCCCCCCCCCCCCCNCAGAACTCTCTTAACTGAGACTGCCACTTGCCAACTATCCACCATCAACTCCGAGTCGAGTCTTATGTTACCACCGACGGTCAGTGGGTCAGTGTGTGTTGGAATAAAGCACCCATCTGAGGCTTACGACCAGGATTTTATTACTGTTAGACAGTTGCGGGTTTGGTGATGTGGAGCGATCTCTCTGACGAGAGGACGGGTCTGTCGTTTACAATTGCTGCTGGTCCTCGCCAGCGCAGTCATTGTCTGGTCCGAGTCCCGTTGCACTCGCGACCATATTTTACTGTCCCAGATTCGAACTTCCTTTTTCGTCGCCTCCTGCAACTCGCAGGGTTACGGTGGAAGCATTCGACCCCGCCTCCACACGGGATTCTACCAACTCAGGGACTCGACTGACTGCTTATAACATTTCGGTGCGAACCACGGAGAAAACACCGTTTCCACTGTTATATTCAAACAATGCCTCGACCGTTGTATCCTTTGCCGCGGGACCCATTTAACGAGCAGTTGCCTAGCGATAGCCCGGGTAGTGTTAACATGC